AAGGTGGTCCCACACAAAAATTATAAATTGCAGCAATGATTAAATTACAATATGCTTAATTATTAAGCAAAGTGAATTGCGGCAAACCTATTTGGAACGCGGCAGCAACAAGTAAAGTTCTTAATAGTTAAGAATTAAGATTTGATAAAGACGTTGAAAAGTCAAAGGAAAGCAAACCACGGTAAGAATTACAAGGCGGTGGATTGAAGCAAATTCAAGGAGAGAAATTGAGAAGCATCCAGAGCATAGAAATAGTCGGTTTAATTAGCTTATATATATACGTGTGATATATGAATGAAATATAAGTGAGAAAAATAAGAATGAGTGAAAGTTTAGAAAATCTAGAGAGAATTGAGTAATGCTTAGCAAAGCTTAGAATATTGAGGTTGTGTTTGTAAACTAGCCGCAACTAGTGTTGTAGTGTTGTAATATTGGGTAATGTCGTTGTAACGTATTTTGCCTCGTATTAATAATAGTTCGAGTTATATAAATTATTAAGTGCCCATCTACGCTTCCGACAAGACCATGCTAAATTTGATGTTCTGTAATCAAGTAATCCAATCAAAGCAAAAATGGATATTAATTTCCAACTCCAACCACGACACTTGGATAAGTTATAGTGTTGTAGAACACATAAAACAAGGTAAGCTCTCTTCCTCACCATAAAAACTAATTTCTGGAATTTCTGGATACACACTAAACTAAAAACAAGCAAGAGACAAAATCGTTAAAGAGAAACGAACCTGAGTAATTTCTGGAAAAAGGACTCAATGGACAAAGGCTATCGATAGGGACGAACCTTCACCGGAGAAGAATGCGCCAGTAACGACGATAGAGGAGCGGGCTGACAGCAAGACAGAGGCCAAAGAGCAATCCACGACGAAAAGTGCAAAAAAAGAGGGGAAGAAACTGTTAAATGAAGAGCTGTGTGTTTTTAGGGAAATTTTAGACGGCTGAATGAAATAATTAGGGATTTGGAACACGATGGGTTAAAGGATTGCAGAATTGCGGCATTTATAATAAAAATGCCACTAAAGAACATAAATATGGCGGCGTGTATTACAAAAATGCCACTATATTACATGATTATTGCGGCGTTTATTAACAAAACGCCACTAAAGTACATAACTATTACTACGTTTGAACAAAAACACCTCTAAAGTCAAACTCTATAACGGCGTTTGTTTACAAACACCACAACAGTCTGAGTCTTTAGCGGCATTTCTATACAAACGCCTCTAAAGTAAGAGTATTTTACGACATTTTATCAAAAAACGCCGCTAAAATGATGCTAAACAACAAATATTGCCTATCATATTTTGGTAATTCGTTTTGAAAAATTACATTTTTAATCATAGCGGCATTTGTATCGATACGATGGTAAAGTACAAATCTGTTGCGGCCATTCTATAGGACTTACGTAGCAACTGAAGTAACGCACCACATAATCAAATTAGGAAAGCAATCCAGTAATCTAATATCTTTGAGGGTGTCATCAATAAATTTTCATTCAAGACGATCCTACACCTTATCCAAGTCAATTTTAATAGCCATAAAACCTTTATTACCTTTTTTTAATTCGCAATGAATGCATCAGCTCATGTGCTATGACAATGTTCTCCGTTATCGATCTTCGGAGACGAAGCTCGTTTGACTCTGGGACACCCAATTAGAAAGAAAATGCTTCAGGCGATTAACAATAATCTTTGTGACGACTTTGTATAAAACCGAACAAAGGCTAACAGGACGGAACTGAGAAATCAACTACGGAGCTTTAATCTTCGGAATTAGGACAATCATTGTGTGATTTAAAGAATTCCCGTCCAGTTCAGTTGGTAGAGCGCAAGGCTCTTAATCTTGTGGTCGTGAGATCGAGTCCCACGGTAGGCAATTCAAAATTCTGATTGCCGGAGGTCTTCTACGGAAGCTACTCTCAACCTGGCGTTTGGGGGCAGCCTACTACCTTATCTCCCCCTCACCACATTACATTTGGGAATAGGGTCAACTAATTTTTTTTTATCTCATTATTGTTCGATTTAAAGATTCTTCAAACGCTGCAGCAGACTTGCTTGCAAAATCTACCGTCATTTCAAATGATCAACCATGCATATATATTGAACCTCCCCAGGAGATCTTGATTATTATCAATAAATATATTCATGATTCATTAAGTAAATTATATATTATAAGTGATTCATCATCATAAATAATATGTTTTTAGTTACAAGTCATTTTTAATATAAAATGAAAAAATGTTTAGAAATCAATGATACTAATTATAATATATAAATGGATATGTATTTATCAATAATTAAACAATATTATTGTAAGAGTTAAACTAAGGAAGCGAAAGTCAAATGGTTTGATAATGCCTGAACCCATTAATCAAATCCGTAAAATGTAGATAATTGAGAAATATCAACTTGAGTTAAAATTATTTTTTATTTAAGGTGATGATCTGAAATTGATTTGAGTCTGAACAGGCGTTGACCTGAATTCAAGATAGACTTGAAAATTTACGACATGCACTCGACCTGAACTCGAATTGAACATGATAATGTGATAAATGAACCCGACCTGCATCCAACTTGATATGAGCCCGAACTCGAGAATAACCCGGTAAATAATTGTTATTATCTGACCTGTTATCAACCTGATATGTAATAAACCTGATTTGTAATTGACTAAACCTGTAAATGATCCGACTTGTTATTGAACTAATCTGATATTTACCTGGCTTATAAGTTACAATTGATGAAGTTATGAGATTTGACGAAGTTATGAGATTTTGAATTTATAATAAAATATGATAATTAATATGATTTCTTTTTTAAAAATTAAAACAAATTGTTAGTTATGATAATTAAATTAATAATTTACTTTCTATATTAATTGTAATCCTTATATTATAAATAATTAAATTAATTTCATTAAATAATTAATTATTGAATATGATTTTATTAGATTATATAAAATTAATTTAAATATTTATAATTTTAATTTATTTTTATGTAATAATTAATTAATAATTAATTAATATAATTTAACTTAAATTTTTAAAATATATATAAAAGATAAATTTACTTGAGATTGAAAATTTTGAAATTTGAAAATTTAAAATTTTAGAATTAATTTAAAATAAATAATATACTATATATATATATATATATATATATATATATATATATATTTACATGAGTGTTGAGAGATTTGTTTAGAGGAAAAACGGTGGGAAAAGATGGTGGAAAACCTTTTTTTTAGAAGAACAATTGGTTTTGATGGAAAATTGGTTGTTTTTTTAGGTATTTTTTTTTTAATTTTGAAGCAAGATTGGCAGGGACTTTATGTCCAAAAGATATTTTGGGTTAACTAGGCTCGCGCTCCTCGAACAATTAGGATTTTTTTTTATTTTGTAATTTGATTTTTGCTTTGATTTATTTTAATAATGCTTTAATTGTAAATCTCTTCTGTAATTTCAATTCAATACAATTTAATCATATATACATTCTAATTGCTTTTAATTTTCCCTTCTTTATTTAATGTGCATAATTACTTTATATATATATAAGTATAGATATATGTATATAAGTATACATTACACTTGTATAAGAATATACATATAATGAATGCATAAGTATAAATATATAATATACATTTGATATACATGAATTATATTATCATGACATTCATCATACATATTACATATAATGAAACCGAGGCAATTTATATCTTTGAAGATTTTAAATAATAATATAAAATTGCCAAAGTCAATTGTTAAACAGTATAAATGTCAATCGATTCCTCAGTTCCCTGCTTCCGCTGGTTCTTGATCATGGCTTATAGGAAGGACAAAGTGCAGGTATCTCCATAAATTAAGGCGCCAAATTATTAGACCAACCACATGAGCCTTACAACACACAATTCAACGTCCTTCTTTATTGTTTGAATTCCAAATCCCCGTGAATTAAGCGCCTCAGTCGCTTAGAGCACAATTTTCCAACTGGAATTTGCTAGTGTGATAGGATAAAGATAGAAATTAAAAGTATTTATAGTTTTTGTACATTTCTCAATACTCAAGACCCTTTTATTTGAGGATATAGAAAGATGGCTGTGGAAAACAGTTACCATGCAGCAGATGATCAGTCATTGGTGGGGAAGAAGCCAATAGAGCAACGAAATCATCGTCCAAATCCTGGGAAGATCTGCCTAGCCTGGATGGGAGAGACGGATCCATGGAGATTTTACAAAGGCTACCAAGTCTAGGGAGGTGGATATCAATGGGAGCTGACGCCTGGGATGATCTTCTAGATGGAATTATTCCTCCAGGGAATATAGACCAATCATGTAACGATGTTAACGTCAAAGACATGAGTACTGGAGAGCTTAAAGCGAATTTGATTAGAGTAGACAAACAGGCGACGAGACACTACCGGGGAGTGAGGAAGCGGCCTTGGGGCAAGTATGCAGCAGAGATAAGGGACTCGTCGAGGAAAGGAGCTCGAGTTTGGCTTGGGACTTTTGACAGCAGAGATTGGGTTTGGAGTGGTTTGATTTTTAATGGTGAGTGTTGCAGGTGGTGTAATTGTAGTGCCATCAAAATAACCAAATAGGTTGTGGCCATGCATCAACATTTCAATTTGAGCTTTCCAAATGGTGAAGTTTTGGCTACTAATGAGTTTTATTGGTAACTGGGCAAGGGGATGAATTGAACAACGATGGTTGTGGGTGTTGAGTTGTCTGAGTTGGTAATATAAAGGGCCATTTGTGAGGTAAGAGAAAAAAGAAAAGGAATTTGTTCGTGAGAACGTTTTAGGCTCTGATTACCATAGAGGAACAAGGTAGAAGATGAATTGAAGAGTGACTTTATTGAACATGGTTGAAGGGATTATAATAGGAAGAACCCCAAAGTAAATAAATTTTAAAATCAAACGAAAAAAAAAAGATAACAGAAGATAATAATAAATTAACAACCAATATTTGAAATTTAAATGATTGTGTCTTTAGTACCATGGAGATATACAATCCATCTTAGCTTCTTGCTTTAATAGGTTCCAAACTCCTTTGCAGTCCGTTTCAACGTAAAACTGTTGTACATTCATACTTGAAACTAACCCTAAGCCTTTGTACGCTCCCCATAATTCCACATCAACAATCGAACAACATCTAGTCATCTTCGCGTAACCATAAATCCATTGTCCATTTTCATCCCAGATTGCCCCACCACAAACCGTCAATCCATTTAAAGGATTTCGTGCACTATCCACATTTAATTTGTACCACGGCACCACCTTGTACCACCCCATCGGTGGTGCCGTGGTGTCGACCACTTTTTGCTTCGCATACAAAGCTTCCAGTTGGTGTCGGCGTCTGCTTTGAATAACACTTTTCACTTGCACGAACTCCGCATCAAAGATGCCCTTGTTCCTTTGCAGCCACATCCCTCATACTATCGACCCAAATAAGATATCTCATTCTTCATCATGCTGAGGGAATTAACTCGGATTTTGGATATTCAATCTGATCCAATCCATCATTTGTAGGTTCCGAAACTCAAGTGCTTTCCTCTCTCCTTCTCATTTCTCAAACATGATTTTTTTATCCGATAAAAAAAGATAGTTTTCACTAAAATATGAGTTAGTTTCTCTTTCTATCATTTAAATTTAAGAAGTTATACTTAGATTATCGATATAATCTTTTATTAAAAAGAATTATTAGTATTATTAATTTTGAATAAATTAAATATTTAGTTGTTAATGTTCATTATTTTAGTAATGAGAATCTGGCATAGTACATAAAAAAATTAGTGTGACATTTTTAAGAAATTAATATAATATAATAATGTAATCAAATATGTTATTATCTTATTAATGAGAATATACTCAATATATATATATATATATATATATATATATAAGTAATATGGCTTAAATTTAAAATCTTTAGGAAGTTCAATACATGACCAATGTATACATTATTTATTTATTTTATTAAATAAAAGTTTAGGTCAGAGATGACTCCCTAGTCCAGGACCAGGGCATATCTAAGACTCAATTGGGATCTACATATGAATTTATAGATTATCTATCAAGAGTGATAATAGTAGGATTCGAACTTAGCCTTACAATCTCAAATTCTTAAATCACAATCACTTGTGCCGACACGCGTTGGCACCAATGCATAAATTATGAAATTATTATATTATTGGCAAAACTAATACTTAGATGAAATTGTGATAGAAATTAATTATATTTATTTTAAGAAAAATATTAATTACAAAATAAAATGTGAAATATTATAAAAATATATTTATAATTTCATTTAAAATATTTAGTTTTATAAAAATATTTATAATTTATATTATATAATTAAAATTTTAATGACAAGGCATTAATGGCTTTGTCCCTGGCCATGCGCCATATCCAAAACGTGATAAATATCAAATTTGCAGACGAATTTATTTTAGCGTACAAAATGTATTAATTTTGCATCCGTGGAAATTGATAAACGCATCTGCTCTAGTTATGAATCATAAAGTGTTTTTTTTTAATAGATGTGACCAAGCTCAGTAGCACATGTAAGGGGAAAAAAAGATAATAATGTTAACATAAATTTTTATTATATCACTGATCAATCAATAAGATATCAGTCCCGAATCAATAAATCGATGACAGAACGGCTAGCTACAAATATTTTAGTGTATGTCTTCTCAGTAGGGTGAATTGAATCGAAAAATACATATTTTGACGCATCAAAACACACAAATGATTCTGGATTACACAAAAATCCTGCTTCCAAGAAACCACTCCCACAGCAGCCATGGCTAACCTCGTCAAATTCTACAGAGAAATTAAGAGGAAAATGGAAAATCTGGTTTACTACTGATATATGCCAAGTAGAAACCACTAAGGTTTTTATGACAAAATAGAAGATCATGTTTACCATGTTTTCCAAGGCCTTGAATCATGTCAACCAATGGTGTGAAAATGTCGATATAAGTGATTTTTGCACCCAGATGAGCATATCTACCCTGCATTGAGTTCAGTTCAATTTGGAGCATTTGGTTATATTCCAATCCAGTCCGAGAAAATTTTTCAATGCAACCACGTTCTAGGATCGCATTTCAGGAATTGAGGGTGATGACAACCGGTAAACAACCCATCGAAGGCAGTCCTGTAACGGTGATTCTCCGAGCCCCTTCGTCCCATAAATCCTGTGGTAAAAGGACTGATAAAAATCAAAGCTTCCAAGTTGAAGAGCTTCAAGAGTAGTACTGCAGACTGTTCTATTTATATGTTCCTCTTCTTAAAGACAATGGAAGAAGTGGGTGGTGCTCGTACTAACCATGTAGTTAATGTTAGGACCCCATGCCATTCCTTTAGATCCTTTTTCTATGATAAGCAGGCTCAGAATCGAGTCCCATTTATCATTCAGCCTTAACTAGCTTTAAATTATCCAACAAATATTTATACGGATGTTGCCCATTTAATTTCATACTCGATTCGTCGACTTTGACGGTAGGAATGCATTTTCTATCTACTTTTAAAGTGATTTAAAAGTTACTATACGTTTGATAAATGAATAAAATGATCACTTATAAAATAGTTAAAAAGTAATCTCTAGAGTAATTAGTTAAAAGTTCTGGTTTGACATCTTCTCTTTTTCCTAGGTTGTGGGTTCAATATATATTAGGAACAAGAACTCTTCTTCCCCTCCCTAGTAGGAATTGTTAAAAAAAAGAGAGAGAGAAATATTTCACATTAAATTAAGACTGTTATATCTTCCTAGGTTGTGGGAACTCTCTTCTAGTCTCCATGAATTCACCCAGATACCAGAGGAGGTTGCTTCTGAGGTACAGCAGGAGCCACCATGATAGACTCAACCTAGTGTAATTTCTCACCTCAACAAGAAAAAAAAAGTTAGGACTGCTATATTTTACATAATCTAGTTTCAATCTCTATGCATATATTAAACACAACTATTTAGATCACAGGAGTATTATTATACACTCAATGCTATAATGTTATAAATAGGAAATTTTTATTTGTTAAGTCAAGTATTTTGTAGTAGTTCTTAAGCCAAACCTGTAGGAGTTGCTTCAAATTGTGCAACACGAACTGTTGATAGCCTGACACAGTATACTTCTTTCGTCGAATTGGTAAGGTGAAATAGTTTACTACTAAGTCATTAGTGCCACAACTGATAAGAAACACCCCGTCTTTGATAATACCTTCCATCCTTTCCTTTCCAATGGCAGATTGCAGTCGTTTTTTATACTTTAAAATAATCCAGCGCTTGGTAATGAAATCACGCTCTGGGATTCAACAGATCAATATTCAAACTTTAATTTATTTTCTACAGTGAGATTTTTTAAATTTATAAAGTGGTTAAGAAATTGAAGTTAAAAAATCATGTAACTATTGTATTAAATAATAATTCATAATTTAGTGTATGAAAGGAGAAAAGGGAAAGGGAGAAATGTCAACAGATATCCGTGCTGTAAGTGGATCCAATTCGGTACGAGAGGAGGCGAAGCTAATGTTGCGGAAGACGGCTATCGAATAGAGTAAAATCACAACTAATAATTTGAAAAAATAAAATAAAGATAAAAGAGACAAATTTACGTGGAAAACCCTAAATAATATAGGGTAAAAACCACGGGCAACGGTAGAAGAATTTCACTACGAGAAAATAGGAATTACAACTTCTCTCGATCTACCAATGAGAAAACAATAATAATTCTCTCTTGATAAAAAAAAAAACTCTCAAGAAACTCTCTAAATTCTCTAGTATTGAAAGAAAGCTAGAATGATTTGGGATGATTTTGAAGCTAAATGGGTTGGGGTATTTATAATTGAAGCTTAAGGACTAATCTTGTAAATACCCTAAAAGTAAAGTGACTAAATTGGGTATTTTACCCTTTATTATTTTATCATATTTGGTGGCCAAATTTGACTAAAATTAGCCACCCTTAATACTGCCAAGCCGCCCCATTTGTTTCCTTCTCCTTTTTGACTTTCAACAATCTCCCACTTGAAGATTTCATTGGAACAATTATATCTTCACACCATTCTTTATACCTTGTACCTTCATGTTGCTTACGTTTCTGACATGCCACAAGAGGATCGACACCAAGTAAATTTATCAACGTTGATCGCCTTCGTCATGAAATCTGCTATGCTGTCTTTGGTATGGATCTTATGCATATCTACCGTCTCTTCTTCCACCTTTTCACGAATGAAATGGTACTGAACCCGTATGTGTTTTGTCCTTGAATAAAATGTTGGATTCCTTGCTAGATGCAAGGCTCTTTGACTGTCACAAAACAGAGAGACATACTCTTGATTGTGCCTAAGCTCCTTCAATAGCATCTTCAACCAAATTGCTTCTTTATTGGCTTGTGTAGCTGCTACATATTCTGCTTCTGTTGTGGATGTAGCCACAACTGACTGCAATTTTGAAACCCAGCTTACAGCTCCACCAACAATTTTGAACACATATCCTGTAGTAGATTTTCTTTTATCCAAATCCCCTGTATAGTCAGAATCTACATACCTATTGATTAGTAAGTTTGATCCTCCGTAACATAATGCAACATTTGAGGTCCCTTTGATGTATCTCAGGATCCTCTTTACTGTATTCCAAAGCTCTTTGCCTAGATTCACCATGTACCGACTAACCACTCCCACTGCTTGTGCAATGTCTGGTCTTGTGCATATCATAGCGAACATTAAACTTCCCACTGTCGATGTATACGGCACTCGAGACATCTCCATCCTCTCTTCTTCACTGTTAGGACTCATACTAGAGGATAATTTGAAGTTACTAGGAAGAGGGTTAGAAATTGGCTTACAATGTTGCATGCTGAATCGTGACAAGATCTTTTCCAAGTAATTCTTTTGTGAAAGCCAAATCTTCCTATTACTTCTGTCTCGGTGAATTTGCATCCCTAAAATCTTGTTTGCTGATCCCAAGTCCTTCATTTCAAATTCCCTAGTCAGTTATGCCTTCAATTCTTCAATATGATCTTTGTTGGGTCCTTCAACCAATATGTCATCCACATACAACAGCAGTATGACAAAATCGTTATCACCACACCTCTTGAAATAAGCACAAGGGTCTGCATTAAGTCTGTTGTATCCAAGGCACATAATGAAGGAATTAAATCTCTTATACCAACACCTCGGCGCCTGCTTTAGACTGTATAGAGATTTTTCAACCTGCAAACCAAGTTTTCTTTTCTTTTTCTTCAAACCCTTCAGACTGGAGCATGTAAATCTCTTATTCAAATTTCCATGAAGAAAAGTTGTTTTAACATCTAGCTTCTCTAGATGTAAGTTCAATGTAGCACACATTGCCAAGACTACTCAAACTGTTGTTAGTCGTACCACAGGAGAAAAGATTTCATTGAAATCAATACCTTCTTTTTGAGCGTATCCTT